CATCTAGCCTTGGCTTGGGCCAGCAGCTGGTCTCTGCTGAACATGCTGGCCTCATCTGGCTTTGGTGTGCTGGGTATGGTGGCAAAGGGATCATACTCTGGTGACTCTGTAGTCTCAATTGGAATATCTATGGGATCATTGGCTTGCAGCATGCCTGGTCCTTGGTAACCACTGGCCTCACTGGTGGAACTCCTGGCCACCTCTGCCATTCTGGGAGCCTTGGGCACATTGGTGCAATCTGCATCATTGGCCCTCATCCTGGCCAACTCCTTTGGACACAACAGTGTCACTGGAATCACTGGAGGTGGCACTGGAATCACTGGTGGTGGCCTGTGGATCCACTCGCTCTGCCATGGCTACTGGTTTGTGGTACCTCTTTGGGCTTCAATTGGTTTGTAAATGGTTGGTATGAATTACACGATTGGTGTTGCTACAGCTTAATTTAAATTATTGATAGAACACTTTATATAGTGCTTATGTTCTACATGTTCTGGCATGTTCTTCTGATGCATAAATGGCTATAATAGTAGATAGATATACTATTATGTATGTGTATATATAAATTCCAAAGGCCACATTGGCTTTTGGATATACTTTGTGATGGGCCATATTGGCTTTTGATACAATTTCACAACTTCAGTGGTATATATATTTTTGTTTCTAAATATGAAGGCCACAGTGGCTTTTGGTCAACCATGCAAATCATATAAACCATTAATAGATTTTTTCGTTTGAATGAAACTTATGTTATTTTTAAAATTGTTTGAAAATATATTTTTGGAAAATATATTAAAACTAGTATTTACAATCACTATGTTTTCTATATTGTTTTGTTTTGAAAATTACTACTATTTGTTATTTTGTTTTATAAAATTGATATTTTTTAATATTGAATCTATCTATCCAAATCCAAGATTTTAGATTCTGATTCTGAATCTAACTCTCCAAATCCAAGATTTTAGATTCAAATTCTGAATCTAACTCTCCAAATCCAAGATTTTAGATTCACATTCTGAATCTAACTGTCCGAATCCAAGACTTTAGATTCAGATTCTGAATCTAACTCTCCAAAACCAAGATTTTAGATTCAGATTCTGAAGCTAACTCTCCAAACCCAAGATTTAAGATTCAGATTCTGAATCTAAATTTTAAAACCAAAAAAATTTAGATTCATATTTTGAGCTTAAGTTTCTAAACCTCGAACCTGTAGGTTTAGATTCAAATCTATTAGATTTTGTTTCCTGATTGTACTTCACCAAAGATTTTTGTCCATAGTTTTAGTCATTACGTTTTACTTTCTTTCTTTACTTCAGAAAAAAGTCCACCAGTCTAAATATTAGATTTGGCCTCCTTACTTTACTTCACCTAAAAAATATGCGCAGATTTAGTTATTAGGTTTTGTTTTTTACTTTACTACACCAAAGATATTGTCCACAGTTTTAGTCATTAGGTTTTGCTTCCTTTCTTTACTTAACCCAAAATCTGTCCACAGTTTTAGTTTTTTGATTTTGTTTCCTTCCCTTACTTCACCAAAAACGTTTGTCCACAGTTTTAGTCATTAGGTTTTGATTTCTTCCCTTACTTCACCAAAAATGTTTGTCCACAGTTTTAGTCATTAGG